ACTTCCAGGGATGGTGATTCCACCACTTCCCTGGACAGCCTGTTCTAATACGTGAAGAGCTTCCAACCTTTCTATGCTGGGCTTCAGGACTTGCTGCCCCACCTCTTCCCCGGGATCCAGGCTGGGGGGCTGATCGCAGGGGAGATGCCCAGTAGCTAAAAACACACAGAGGAGCTTGCTCCTGCAAGCACGAAGGATGTGTCTGTCAATTCTTGCTCCTGGGACCAAAGCCTGTAAGTGATGTATCAGGGTGTTATTAGAAAGCTGAAGGAAGAGTTCCAGCTTCCAGCCTAAAATCCCTCTGTTGGTAGCACAGGCAAAGTTATAATTTTCTATGTTGACAGAAGAAATCAATCCCAGGCTTTTCCATGCAAGCCTTTTCCAAGCTCTCCAGTATGACTTGCTTCCTTCTGCGGCATGAGCTACTAGGAGATGAGAATTCTCATTTTCATGTCTCATTTTAACAAAGAACACTCCCATGAGTGTCTTCAATAAACAAACAGCATTTTGCCTAGAGACACAGTGGAAATTACAGGCCACAAGTGTTCTGAAGCTCTGCTTCTGCCACTGCAAATGCTTGCCTACAGCCCAGGGCTTGCTTTGGTCTTTCCACTGTCAATCCTCCCTCAAGAAGCTCTAGCAAAGCAAGTATGGACTGCATACTGCTGCACAAGCTACCCCACAGGGCTGAGGCAGTATCACCAGTAAATAATTAGCAATCAAGGGTCATAATGGATCAGACCTTTGGACGAGGCCTTGGGTGATATGGTTTAGTGTGAGGTGTCCCTGCCCATGGCAGAGGGGTTGGAATTAGATGATCTTAAGGTCCTTTCCAGCCCTAACTATTCTATGATTCTATGATTCTAATACAGCTGCTCCTGTTAAAAGTAAGCCACAGAGTATTTTCAGCCAATGGTCCAGGATAAGCAAGAGAGGAAGGTTTAGGGGACCCACAGCAGAGACTGTAGAAGGTTCTGAGGAAATACCTTGGGTGTAGGAGGGTTCTAGAAGGGGTGAAGCGAGTGCAGTGAGGTGTTTGGACAGCCTGAGGTGGGCAGACAGGGGAAGCTGGGGTATGAGTCACAGCAGCATGGGCAGCTGAGCTGAGGCATGAGGAAGAATAGGCAATTCAAATCAGCAGCTGTGACACACTCGGCAGAGCCCTGGAAATGAGTTCTGGGAGTGAAAACAAGAGCAGAAAAGCAGTGTTTTTCAGCTGCATTTAATAGGAATCTGGCTTTGAAATTAGTAATTTACAGACACAGAGAAGGCACATAAACTGGAAGACAGATCTCCAAGATCAGCTACATTTTCTGCAAATAATTATTGAGAAAAAAAATATGATGGGTTCTCAGAGCAGCCCATATATGATAATCACACTGCACCCAATATGCTAATCACAACAGGGGAACATGGCCTGTTAGCTTGAAACATAGCAGATGCTGTCACACCACCAAGGGCTATTCCTGTTGCTCTGGCATATTGCAATGAGCCGTGTGGAGAAGCAGAACAGAAATGCATGGGCAGGAGAAGTGCAGAACCATCAGTGAGGCTTTGCCACCATGCCATGGCTCGGGTCACTTGAATAAGAAGCCATGTTTCAATGGGTCCTCCTCTTCCACAGTGAAGGTGGTCGTACCGATGTAAAAGGCTTCTCCTGAGACTTCCACAACAACAGCGTTGTAGTCACCCAACTTGGCTTCCTGCAGAGGGATTGGGATCAGGACAGAGGTGATGGAGGGGTTCTCCCTCTCGCAAGCCCATGAAACACCAGCGCTACCTGGCACTTGTGCGGACACCCCTCAGTGAGCATGCTGCCCTGCCCAGGTACATCCCAAAGTGTGCAGCAGCTCTTCCACCACCTCACCTTGCCTGCACGAGCTCCACACCTACACAACTGCTGCTGACGCTGGTCTGAGCTCACGAGCCACAGCACTGCCACAGGAGGGCAACAAACCAGTAGCCACTCGCACCCAAAGACATCTCCCTGTGACATGTTCAGACCTTCATGGCCACATGTTGCCAGATGTCACAGGGCCAAGGCTGGGCCTGGAAACATGGATGTTACATCTCTGAACAGCACAGTCAGCCTTTGGGCAGGGAAGAGGGGACTAAACTAGGAATCCAACCTTAGCTGCCATTGAGAATGGACCAGGCTAATTTATCTACATAAGCACTTCTCACCCCAGTCCTTTCCTGATAGCCAAGAGAAGACTTGCAGGGAAGCCATGCAACAGAACAGTCTTACTGTTCCTTGCTTCTATAACTAAAGATCTTGAAAGACTGTGGTAAGACAAACCCCCCAGGCACCTCCTTCCTTCCATATGCCCTTCCCCAGGCACAGAAAGGCTTCTCTGCTTCTCCACTGAGCCAAGGCCACAGCACTTTTCCAACAGTCCTCTAGACAGAGGGAAAGTCCAGCACAAGCCACTTGCCTTCACTGCCTTCCCTGTGAACAAGGATCCTGTGGTGCTGCTCCGAAAGGTTCTGGTCTGATTAAGCTGGATGAGTCCCTTATGGTACTGCAAGGCGATGCGAGCTGTCACACCCGATCCTGTGGGACTTCGGTCAACCTACATTCAGAAGAGAAGGTGAACCAGCTCTACTGTTTTGGGGTTTAACAGAAAACAGTATCACTCCCCTTGGGTTTCTTGGCCACCTCTATACTGCACTTGGGGGAGACCCCTCTATCTTAGGGTTTTGTACAGAATTCAGATACATCACAAAGGAAAGGACAAAATAAACAGGTTTGGGGGAATGTCTGAGTTGTGATCAGCTTTGTCAAACCTGTAGGGATGAATGATCTAGTAAATATTGAGGCTACTTAGGGAGCACCTGAAAGCTTCCCAGCATCATCCCATTCTTACACATCGAGGCAGGATCAGTTCTCCTCACACTAAGAGCACAGCTGGCCAGCCTGGATTTTAAAACCTCCAAAACCCACAATATTGGCCAGCTTCCGACGTGATCTGTCCCAATGCTCCACACTCCTCACTGCTAAGCAGTCCAATCACAACTTCCTCTGCTATTTATGTGATGCCTTATCCACTGCAGACAAGGATACAAGTTTACACCCCTTCTTTTCTCTCTTGCTTTCTTCATCCCCAGCAGCTGTTCCCTAGATGAGGACTTTAAGGACATGCACTATGCTGGGACCCACCTCAGCCACTGAACTCCTGGGAAATTCCTACCTATGGAACACAGATATAAACCCTTTTAAAATGCCCCCATCTAAGATGTGCAGAAGTATTTCTGTCATCAGGAACTAAACAAACATGTGTTAAGTGACAGCTCTTCAGAGGAAAACTGCTGCAGAAGCAATCATCACTACCCAAAGCAAGAAGCAGCAGAACTGTCCTCTGGAGTGGATGTAAGAAAGGATAAAGGTGTCTTGTGCGTCTGAGAAGAGCCCGTTCCTGTACCTGTTCATCTGCAAACACACAGATGTTGGTGGTGGGCTCCTCACTAAAGGCATCTTTCCCATCGGTCAGTATGGTGCCGTAGAGAAAAGCCAGGTCTTCGCTTTCAGGGTGATAAAGCTTGAACTAGGAACAGCAAAGACAGCTTCAGCAATGCATGCTGAAGCTGGGCAGCCAGCAGTACAGCTTTCTCAAGAGACCAGAGGAAGGGGACAAGGCCACAGTGTTGCATTTCCACCTCTGCTTCTCCAGGCACAGAGAAAGACACAGCAGCAGGAAAGTGAGCTCCTTCTCACATCCTTGTGAGGCTGGAGGAGAACTTAAAAATTCAACATAGGGCTAGAAGGATGGGACTCCCTCTGATCCTGAGCATCTCAGGGGAATACAGGGCCTCTATCTGGTGCAGTCACCCAAAGGGAGCATGCTGGGATACCACAGCACTCCACTGTACCTGTTTCTTCACTGCTTCTGTCACTGCAGTCGCCGCATTGACAAGGTCTCTGGTCTTCGAAGAGCACACATCAAGGCCCAGCTGCTCAGCGTTGAGGAAGGCATAGAAAGTACCACCATAGCCAATGTCGACCACCACCTTCCCATAACTGGGGACGTCGATGGCCAAGTCTGGGAAGAGAAAGAGAGAGCTCTGAAGATGGGAAACTGTACTGGGCCATTGGCTTGCATGCAGAGTAGAGGAACCCAGTCACGTGCAAGGGGGGCAGAGACAATGACTTGGATGCTCCCATGACAGAGCGCAGCACTTGACACCTTGTGCTGTCCCTGATGGCCTTTGAGGAACGTCAGAATTGGGGAGGGATTTGCCAGATGCCCCTCAGCCAGACCACCAGCCCCCCCGCCCAACCCAGTGCAGTAGGCCCAGTTCCCACCTGTGGTGATAGGAAAGGCTGGCACACTGTGGAAGCGGACAGGGTTGCCACTGCGGTGACCATCCCAGGGCACAAAGGCAGTGACAGGCCCGCAGGGGCAGCGCAGGTGGACAGCGGTCTCAGGGCAGCTGGGTGCCGCCACCAGCCCATAGTCGAGGGCGAAGCGGCCAAGGGCGATGACAGCGTGGCCGCACATAGCGCTGTAGCCGGCGCCGTGCAGGAAGAGGACTGCCAGGTGCGCGTCGGCAGCGGCGGCTGCTCCCCGCACCACCACCGCCCCGTACATGCCGCCGTGCCCCCGCGGCTCGTGCATCAGCGCCCGCCGCACGTGGTCCTGTGTGGCCGCCACCTCCCTCCGCAGCGACAGCAGCGATAGTCCTTCCACCGCCGCTGCCTCTTCTGCCGCCTCTAGCCGCGGGATGATGCGCAGCGGCTCGCCGCCCGTGTGCATCTCCACCGTCTGCAGCACCAGGCCCGAGGGCGAGTGCGGCGGCAGCCACCGTCCTGCACCGGTCCTGGCATCGCTGCTCTCCGCCGCCGCCGCCGCCGCCATCGCCATCGCCTCCGCGGAGAGGGGACGACCCGGGCCACGCCCCCGGGGCGGAGCAGCACCCGCCCCCTGCTTGACCACTCCCACACGGCTGCGGGGTGGAGCTTGTCCTCGCGTTGGAAGCGGAAGTAGCGGTGTGGGGGCTGATGGGTTGTAGGGATGTTCCGTGCTGGTAGGACGGGACGGGCCGGGCCGGGACGGGCCGGGGGCCGGGGCCGGGGGCCGGGGGCCGGGGGCCGGGGCCGGGGCCGGGGCCGGCGGGGTTGTCGGCGGGGTTGTCGGCGGGGTTGTCGGCGGGGTTGTCGGCGGGGTTGTCGGCGGGGTTGTCGGCGGCTGGAGCGTGCCACGCATGGCGCTCGGTTCCTCTCGGCTGCGGGGGAGCCGCGGGGTGTGAGGCCAGGTAAGGGCGCCATGGTAACGCGGGCTGCGCTCTCCCCGCAGCTGTGGACATCCAGCCCGCCTGCCTCGGGCTGTACTGCGGCAGGACCGTCCTATCAGTCAACGGCTCCGTGGAGACTTATGGGGACTGCGGGGTAAGTTCGGAGCGGGCGAGGTAAGGGCTGGCGGGCAGGGGCGGCCCCGCTCCCTCCCGCGCGGCGTCCGGCCGTGGCTGCTCGGGCCGGACCGCTCCAGCCACTGGTGCTGGGAGGCTGGTGCGGATCCCGCTGTGAGCAGCATCGCGGCCCACAGCTCAGACCCGAGGTGCCTTGGGGACCAGGGAGAAGTGAGGGCTGGAGAGGACAGGCAGAGATTCCTTACCGAAAGCAGGAGCTGCTCAATGAGACGTTCCCTGAAGGGAGGTGCTAAACCAGAGCTGAGCCGAGGGGCTGTGAAAACTGGAACAGAACGAGATGGAATGGAACGGAGAGCTGTGCTGAAATCATTCTGCCTACTGATATATTGCAGTGCTGAGGGAGAGCAAGATCTGGGGTGGGTGCAATGAAAGGGGAGCAGGAAAGTGGAGGCAAGGTGGACAGTGGTTGTGAGTGGCCCGGTGGGTGCATGAGCTTAGTGGTGGAAGGGAGATGGTGTGACAGTGGGAGAGGGAAACAGACTTGGAGGAAGCGTGTTAAACATGCTTCGTCTTTGTTTATGTTGAGAAGGAAGAGCCACAGAGGGTGAGGCCAGTGTAACCTGAGAAATCGCTAAGTTTAACATTTTATCTCTAGAAGTCTATATGTATCTTGTCCCACCACTAGTTCAAGCTGTTTTTCTTGGAACTGCAATGATTCATTATTGGTATTCGGATGCTGTCTAAACAGTCTCTGCTTTTTGTAGGTATGTCCTAGAGGTCAAAGAACTGATGACAACAAAATCTGCCGGGAATGTATGGGATCTCCAGACCGCTATGACTGGTTATACCTTGGCTTCATGGCCATGCTCCCCCTGGTTTTACACTGGTTCTTTATTGAATGGTATTCAGGAAAAAAAAGGTTTGTTTACTCCTTCTTCAGATGAGTTATTTAAAAATGGACATCTTGTATCCACAAATGATTGATTGGAGATGCTGAATTGAACTTCCCAGCAGCTCATGCTGTTGGTTGAGCTGATACGGTAGCACATAAACTTTGGGTATCTGGACTGGGGATTATTCACCAGAGTCCCGTGGGTCCTTCTTATCAGTCAGCACCCTCAGGGCATGGTCTGTATCTCTTCAGTGTGGTGGTACTCAGTCCGTCTATCAGTTTGGCCTGGACTGGGTTTTGCAGTGGCGCAGTGTGTGAGCTTCTCTCTCCTGGGCGAGACCTACCACCTGCAGAGGCCCCGATCAGCAGTGCTGCACACATTGAGAGAATGGGTTTGAGTTTCCTCTGTAGGAGTATATATACTGGGCTTTGGCCCTGGTAGTGTAGCTGGTGTAACTTTTACATCAGCATGGTGTATCAGGGAGGTTCTGTGAAAAGGGGGTTTAAAACCATAGCTGCATGCAGCCATTAGGTGCTAGACTGTAACTTTTAAGAAATAACGACTCTGAGGCATACTAAACACCAAAAACTGGAAGAGCTTAATATATGACTGTATACCATCTTTAACAAGGACCTGCAGCTTTGAAAGTTTGCTGATACCATATATGATGGTGTTACCCCTTTTGAGATGTGTGGTGTCTTATCCTCAGTGTTGCTTTCTTTGAAACCACAACAGCCGAGTGGTGCTGTTCCTCACCTGACAGGATGCTTTTGCTACAGCAGGCTTTCATTTAAGAGGCTGGAATGTTGTTCAGTCGTATTTTACATGCTAAATCATCTGAGATTGTGAGTTTTCACAGTCAACTTCAAATACTTTTTATTCAAGCAGAGTTGTCCTAACTTTGATCGCAGTGAGTATTAACTCTGTAGAAGGTTCTATAGTACATAGCAACTTTCCAGTCAGCATTTAGGTTTCCTGTTGTGTTAGCAAGATAGTAAATCTCTCTCTCTACTTCCACAGTTCCCGCGCACTGTTGCAGCATGTAACTGCCTTGTTCGAGTGCAGCGTTGCAGCAATTGTTACACTGCTCGTCAGTGACCCTGTTGGCTCAGTGCATATCCGCTCCTGCAAGGTGAAGAAGCTTTCGGACTGGTACACGATGCTTTACAACCCAAGCCCTGACTACATCACCACGGTGCACTGCACTCACGAAGCAGTCTATCCACTGTAAGCATAAAGGCTTTTGTGCTCCTTTCTTTTGTGTCCCTTTTATACAAGTGTGTTTCTATTTGTGCTTCTTCTCAAAGAGGCAAAAAGTGTTCAGGTGTAACTGGGACCAAAGAGTATCAGTCCCCAGAAGTCTTTCACGCATTGAACTGGTTTATGTGTGAAAGACTCAGCAACACCAAGTGACTTTCTGAGTTGTCAAAGAAGGCAGTGTAGTTCAGGCTGTTTAGCTGTGAAGCGTAAGACTGTTTTTTTTTTTTTTCCTCTGTCTTTTCTGCATCTGGACTATTACCCTTAGAAAAAGTGAGTGCATCATTCTGTGTTTATACCCTTTGATTATAAATTCTTTGGACTTCACTGACTATCCCGAAATTTCTTGATTCTGAGTTGAGTCTGCAGGATAGAACTGCACATTTTAAGGAATTTATCTTTTTTTTTTTTTTTTTCTCCTAGGTACACCATTGTGTTTATATATTACGCTTTCTGTCTTGTGTTAATGATGCTACTTCGGCCTCTTCTGGTTAAGAAAATTGCCTGTGGTTTAGGAAAGTCTGATCGATTTAAAAGCATTTATGCAGCACTGTACTTCTTCCCTATCCTCACTGTGCTTCAGGCTGTTGGAGGAGGCCTGCTTTGTGAGTTCTCTCTTAATAACGCTAACAAACATACCTATCAACACACACTAATAGGTGACTTATGAGAGGGAGGGACATGACACTCTTTTTGCTTCAAAAATAAGGATGTTTTTTAAGGTTATTGTGAGGAGTTTTGCCTGAAAAAGTTGCTCATCCGTAGCCTGTCCTAACCAGGCTCCTGACCAGCACTGCTTTGTCTCTGCTGGTGCCGTTAGAGACTGTGCCTTTCTCAAGAAGGGAATAGAAGGGATGTGAGAGAAGATTACATCAGAGGGAGCTCATTCCACTTTCTGCTAAGGTAGATTTTGTCTGATTTCAGAGATGAATCAAAGTCTAAGTTTGGAGATGCCTGCTATTTTTATGTTTGCTTCTTGCAGACTTGTCACATGAAGGTCACAGGTGCTACAAAATCCCTGCTCAGCCTGATTGCTTTTCTCATTTAAAACTTAAACAGGGGAAGTTTAGATTGGATATAAGAAGGAAATTCTTTCCTGTTAGGGTGGTGAGGCACTGGAATAGGTTGCCCAGGGAGGTTGTGAATGCTCCATCCCTGGCAGTGTTCAAGACCAGGTTGGACGAGGCCTTGGGTGATATGATTTAGCGTAAGGTGTCCCTGCCCATGGCAGGGGGGTTGGAACTAGATGATCTTAAGGTCCTTTCCAACCCTAACTATTCTATGATTCTATCTGCCTTTTTCAGTTAGTGATTTAAACGTACAGTAATTCCTCCTTGAAATGACAGAAAAAGTTTGAAAACCTAAGACTGAAGTGTTGAATAGTTGTGCTAGGCTGAGCCTTACTACTGTGCGTGTTTGATGGGATGATAAGAGGTGGGCTACAGTAGCTTAGTTTATTTCACACCCATGGTTTTATGTGGAAAAACTACCTCTGCTGAAGTGTGTATTGAGTGCTCTTTCTCCTGCTAATGTGTTGATGTTTGCCTTTAGATTATGCCTTCCCATACATCATACTGGTGTTGTCTTTAGTTACACTGGCTGTGTACATGTCTGCGTCTGAAGTGGAGGTAGGTAAACATGTTTCCTGTTTTAATAAACTGCAAAATACTTGAATTCGAGGAGAGACCACTTTGTCTCTTACCTTTTCTCAGCTGTATTCTGCGTTTAAACCTCTTTAAGACTTGTCTGAGCTGGAGGAAGCTCCTGTGAGGCTTCCCTCTTGTGGTGCACTGAGGAACTGTTCTGTGCGGGAAGGGCTCAAACGCAAAAGGCTCATGCAGTCTCTGTGCTGCCTGTGTAAGACTGTTAAACATCAGGTACTAGGTAAGGGGATGAATGCTAACAAGGTACTGTGTTTATTTTGCAAGTCTTTCAAGGATCTTCTTGTGAGGAAGAAAAGGCTTGTTGTTCTCTTCAGCCACTGGTTACTTCATGCCTATGGAATCATCTCCATTTCCAAACTGGATAAGCTTGAGCAGGACCTGCCATTGCTTGCCTTGGTACCTGCACCTGCCCTCTTCTACTTGCTGACAGCAAAGTACACTGAACCATCACGCATACTCTCGGAAGGCGGAAATGGACATTGAAAGGAGCCTGTGCCAAAAGCACTGTCCAGATGATCTGAATTAAGCAATGCTTAATTAATAAAGCAAGCTTAATTAAGCTTGTTATGCTTTGGAAACTTCTGTTTTAGAAGTTATTTATGAACCAGACTTCTAGGTGAAACACCTGAATGAGACTGGAGAATACAAAAAAAGCTGCACTTTGTGTTCTTAAATATCTGGTATAGATGGAAGGGAATGTCCTTGTATCTGTTTATCACTGTGAATCTGTATAAAAAGCTTGCGCCACATTCTAGTATAGGGATTTGCTTGTATGTGTTTGTTTCTTAATACAGTATTTTAGGTTGTGTTTGAATAAAATGTTAGAGTTGGGCTTTCAGTAGACTTAATGAAACAAATAGAGTCTTTTCTCTGTATTGTACAGGAAGATAACCAAAGCACGTATCCTGTATATAAATCACCAGTAACGTCATGCTATAGAGGGTCTAGAAAAAGATGCAGAGCAGTACTGAAGGTTTAAACACAGGAGTAAGAGCAATAGGAAACAATAGTGCTGTTTTCTTATTGTCTGCGCCACCAGTGGAAATACTTTTCTTTCCATCAAAAAATAGAACACATTGAGCATGATTCCTTATGATGAAAGGTAGAAGGAGAGGAAATGCATTTTTAAATTCCCTATAAAAGTATAGTTTATGGTCTATGTACTTCATGGAAATGATTAAACAGCAGTATTCTTCCCACAAACTCCATTTACCTTGACTATAAATTTCCTTCTAAGATCGTACTAAAGATTTTATTTGCTGACAGCTACCAGGAAAACTGTGATGCATCTGTTAACTATGTACAGGTAGGATTGCTTCTGCCCCTTTCAACAGAGCCCCCCTAGCTTCCTCCTGTGAGTGTGCTTCATGCCTGTTTCATCATTTGTTGGTGGTGCCAACAGCTCGCATCATTTGCTGTGTAGTGCAGCTGTACCCACACTATGGCAACAGCAGTGGTTGGAGAGGAGTGTAAATCAGCAGCTGAGAAAGGAACAGCTGTTTATGCTGTATCACTGCTGCAGCAACAAAAAATGTTGGGATGGCTAAAGTACAAAACCAGCAGATTTAATAAAAAGAATTACAGATTCTTTCTTTCTTTCAAGAGATACCATTATATCTGGTCTGCATTCATCAAAATCTTTATGTGAACACCTTGATAAGAATTGTTAGAGCTTCTGAGGCTGTTCAGAAATGAGCTCTTGGCTTTGCTGAAGCCAAGTTTCCACTGACAGACCTCCAGTCTTTTCTCTGTATTGTACAGGATGATAACCAAAGCATGTATCCTGTATGTTAGTCACCAGTGGTGTAGTGCCATAGAGGGACTAAAGGAAGATGCAGAACTGTACTGAAGGTCTGAACGCAGAAGAAGGAAGATCTTCTCAATCTAAACTTTTCCAAATGCATAGATGATTTGCAAATAACACTGTTTATTTCTATATTTAAGCATGACCGTAATGCCTTTTTTTATTCTATTGCATATCAACACTGCTAATGACAAACCCTGCTAGCAGCTCAGGGGGATTGAGGTGTGTCATCTTGGCCAGGCTGCCTCGAGATGTCGCTCTCCTCTCTCCACAGGAGGTTTTGATTCTGTTACAGTGGATAAGCCTTTCCTGATGGCTTTTTTCCTGTGAAATAACAGTTGACAGGTTCATTGCTTCTAAGAACTAGGTCTTGCATGCAGAAGTAAGGTTGTATTTAGGGATTAAGGAAGTAATTGATCTCCTTACAGAAATCGAATGCTGTCTATACTGCTACTTACAATATGTGATTTTTTTTGCATAAAATATTAGACACACTAATCTAGAAGACAGTTCTAAAAGTATGGTTTTAAAACTTGTGTTAAAATACCATTTCCATAACTGACAGACTCATAGGCGTATTTTCTTTTAAAATATCCTAGCCAGTTTTGTGCCTACATTTGCACAGCTTTCCCGTTAGTACAGGCACAGTAGGCATATGAACAGGCAGTGCAGCACCATGCAGGAAAAAAACATTTGCAAAGGTGCAGCAGTAAGGACTGTACATTTTTATGTGCAATATGTGGGGTTAAATGTTGGGCTATATCTTGCTTTTAAAAAGAAAAGTAAGAACTCATCCCAGGTAACATTATCTGTAGTAAGGAGTAAATCTTTTGCTAAGTTTAGAGAATCCTATGTTAATTTTGAAGGCTGCAGGATGAGGGACTTGTAAAAGCAGAGCTTATGGGCAGTGCACCCCATGGAGCTTGCATGGCATACCCAAACACTGACCTTCTTGCCAGGCTCCAGCACTTTGTCATTGAGCAAAACATGCAATGTGGAATGCTAATTAATAAACTCTTTTTTTATCAGCTTCTCTCAGTAACATTAAAAAAAAAAAAAAAGGAAAAGAAAAAAGTCATGGCAGCCAAAGGCAGATGCAGACAGATAGTGCATGCTGTTTGGAATAACCAAGCAATGGTTTTGTGCAGGCTTCTTGTGAAGAAGCCTGCCCTGCCCTTTTCACACAGAAAATAGTATTGGAGCTTCAGCTGAAGCAGGATTCTTCTTTGCTGTATGTTCACCATCCTTCCCCTCTCAGCTTGAATTCCTTCCAGGGCATTCCCTTCTTCTCCCTGGTTTCCTGTCACATTACCCAGACCCAATGATTTTGGAGTAGCCTGTATGCCACGGCCTTTCAGCTGCAATAGGTATAAAAAACACATTCTATAACAAGACAATGATCATATTGTGACCAAACCTGTTTCTTGTTACAGACAAGAGCTCTGTGAATCAACAGGTGAAGACCTCATAGCAGCCTTCTAGTATCTGAATGGGGCCTATAGGGATGCTGGGCAGGGACTCTTTATTAGGGACTGTAGTGACAGGACAAGGGGTAACGAGTTCAAACGTAAACAGGGGAAGTTTAGGTTGGATATAAGGAGGAAGTTCTTTACTGTAAGGGTGGTGAGGCACTGGAATGGGTTGCCCAGGGAGGTTGTGAATGCTCCATCCCTGGTGGTGTTTTAAGGCCAGGTTGGACAGAGCCTTAGGTGGCATGGTTTAGTGTGAAGTGTCCCTGCCCATGGCAGGGGGGTTTGAACTAGATGATCTTAAGGTCCTTTCCAACTAGTTAGTTAACCTTAGTTATTCTATGATTCTGTATCTATAGCATTTGAGTTAAAAGCAGGCTCTGAAGCAAGTGATTTGTATGTGCCTAGGGCCTCTGTGTAGTATCACCCCTCTCCAAGACCAGAGAATAGAATACTGTTTGTTTAAATGGAAAGGGCAGTCCAAATTGCCCTTGTCGGGGAAACCTAATTGCAGCCTTTCAGTTCTCAAAAGGGGCCTATAAGAAAGATGAGGAGAGGCTTTTTAGCAGGGCCTGTTGTGATAGCATGAGGGGTGATGGTTTTAGACTAAAAGATAAGAGATTCAGGCTGGATGCAAGCAAGAAATTCTTTACAATTAGGGTGGCAAAATCCTGGTACGGGTTGCCCAGAGAGGTGGGGGGTGCACCATCCCTGGAGACATTTAAGACCAGGCTGTATGTGGGTCTGGGAAACCTGATCTAGATGAAGATGTGCCTGCTCATTGCAGGGGGGTTGGACTAGATGAGCTTTGTGGATCCCTTCCAACTCAAACTATTTGTCCTGGGTTCAGCAGTAGCAGTCATTTTTCTCCTTCTTAGTAGCTGTTGCAGTGCTGTGTTTTTGACTTTCAGCCTGGGAACAGCGCTGATAACACTGATGTTTTTAGTTGTTGCTCAGTAATGTTTACTCTGACCAAGGACTTTGTGAGTCTCATGCTCTGCCAGGGAGGAGGGGATGCCGGGAGGAAGCAGAGACAGGACACCTGACCCAAACTAGCCAAGGAGGTATTCCATACCACAGCACGTCATGTGCAGGAGGTAACTGAGAGTTACCCGGAAGGGCAAGATCACTGCTGGGTGGGGTGAAATATTGGTCTGCGGGTTGTGAGGTGTTGTATTCTCTTCCCTTGTTATTTCCCTTATCATCATTATTATTAGTGGTAGCAGCAGTGATCTGTGTTATACCTTAGTTACTAAACTGTTCTTATCTCAACCCGTGGGAGTTACATTATTTTCACTTCTCCTCCCCATCCCTCTGGGAGAGGGGGGAAGAAAGGGCTGGGGAAGGGGGGGGGGGGGGGGGGGGGCGGTGGGGGAGGGTGGGAGGGAGTAGACTGCATGGTTCTGATTTACGGCCTGAGCTTAAACCAGGACACTATTCTATGATTCTGTGTAAAATTCTAGGGAACGTAAACATTAATTAGCCATATAGTCCTACAGCAATAACCATGCAACCACAAGCTGTGGAAGTTAAAGGTCTGTGAGTTTTATTTATCCTTTGTGGAAAAGCAAACACAGTTCTGGAAAGATCAATGATGCTCAGACTGTTTTACAGCCCCCTCACTGTTATTATCACAACCCGTTACAAAGTGGAGATAAAAGAGGATAATATGCAGGCTGTTCTAAAGCATGTCTAGTTTGGCTAATAAATATAACCACTAGATCTCAATCTGCAGCACAGTGATTGGATACAATGTGCTGCGTTACAGGGTCTCTATCACGAAGTGGTGAGAATCAACATGTTCTGGGATTAAAAAAACAGCAAAAAGGAAAAATGAAAAAGAAAAGAGAGTGGAAAAAAAAAAGTTTAGTCTATTTTATTGTGATCATCCCGTTTAGATTTTCGGACAAGCAGAGAATCCAGTCCTTCCAGCTTATTTTGCAGCCCGCTATTAATATCACCAATCTTTTCATCTCGTTGCTGAATTTCTGTTGTTAGAGCTGTCACTGTGTTCAGTAGTTCCTGCTCATCCTCCAGAAATTCCTGTAATGACACAGAGCAGAATTTTTCTTTTTCATAAAGGACCTCCCCTCCCCCCCCCCAAAGAAACCCAAACCAAACAAAAAACACCCCACCAGAACCTCACAAAATGTCAAGAAACCTGTTTTGGTTTCCCACAGCTTGGCTGGCCACCAGACCTGTAGCTCTGCAAGAGGTTTTTCATCAACTACCCCATCCTTGCATAAAAAACGCAAAGTTTGCCTTACTAACTGGTGAAGAACTTTACATGATCGTTTGCTTTAATTCCTGTTCAAACTGAAGGCCATCCTTGGCTATCCCCAACGGGAAAAATATTCCAGGCCAATGAACTGAATGTAGAGCAGCAAGAGTGTTATTAAGTACAGGTTTAAGAAAGGCTTGAATATAAGACCAGCAAAAGGAACAATACCAGGAAAAATTATTTTTATAGCCAGGACTTTCATAAAATGCTGGAAAGCATAGGTTTAGTATCTTGCCCTGTATGAATTCAAAGACTGTAATGGCTTAGTTGCAAAATGCAATTTCACTTTTTTAATATGGCATGCAAAATATATTTAAGCAAACCAGCACAATAGAAAACTGAAATTCAACTTTTGAGTAAAGCTCTCCTCTGACTACCCCTTCTGAAGATGATCTACAACAGAGTTAGCAGTTAAAACGTGGTAAATTGCTGTGCCAAAAAGAAGACAAAAGGACTAAAGGATATTATTCAAATCATATAACTTTTTTGTTTCAAAATTGTTATTAATGTATTACCGTGAAGCACTGGTATGTCTTTCAGGATTTTGCCTATTGCTGACTTGTGTTTTTCCGCTTCAGAATTCATTGCAAAAATACCTTCTTTCATTTGTGCAGTGCACTGGGAAAAAAAAATAATTATTACTGAACACTTGCCAATCATTTCCAAACAATTTTACTGTTATTGGAGAGATCAGGAAGAATAAGCTGAATATTAGCTTATGGAAATACAAAGGCTAATGTATTCCTCTGGACACGTTTTCTTTCACCAACATCATTCATTTCATCTTTAACAAATTTTAACAGTTGCCAAATTCAACACAAGCCAGCTATGTTTGTGGTACCAAACAGAATGGATGAGGATACTGGGAACAGCCAGAGGAGGACAGGGTGTGTGCCAACAAGGAAACTCTTCCTTACTCATTCACCCAGAACAGGATGGACTCATTCACATTGGATCAGGTCTACAAGTACCCAGCTGGTCGTGCCCCAGGTTGGCTGGAATGCGTCAGACGGCCCATGTCAGGCACAGTAAAGAGCACTCCCTGGTGCAATATAGGTGTCGGGAAATCGGAGCACCTCAGCTTCTCTTAGTGAATTGAACATGAGGAGAGGGGTGCTTGTAGCATAAACATGAGTTTTCTTCCTGCAGGGAAGCCTTTTGTTTTTATAAGGGTATAATCCGATAGAGCTGCAGCGTAGCTAGTATGTAGCACCTGCAGTGCTAGCCGGCACAGACTCTGGCAGCTGCCCTTGCAGCAGTAGAGCTCTGTGCTTGCAGGAGCAAACAGTGCACAGGGTTCAGATCATCTCAGAAATATAGTCCACGTGGCTGCACAAACATGGGTTCGGGTCTGGATTGGAGCCTGATAACAGTGGGCACTAAGACCGTTTTTGCTTCATGTGCTTTACAGGGAAGGAGATTCTACTGCTCTGATAGCCTAGGGCCTGAAAGGTATACAGAATATTTTCAAAAGTATATATTCCAAATTGAAGATGCCTATTCTACATCTCTTGCTCATCTTGGGCCTCTTCACACAAGCAGGAGTGCCTTTTCCTACAGTCCGTGCCTCAGTGCAGCAGGTATCCTATATTGATTATGCCTCAGGTAGATGCCTTGCCCTTGGATATTCCTCTTTGCTTCCTTACAAATTAAGCACCCCCACATTCATTTAAAAGGCCAGGTTTGCCTTGTGATGTTTATGTTTTATCATCTTCCATGGCCAGTTCTCTGCGAAATGAAAAATGAATACACTGAGAAGGAGCACTGTCAAGCTTGAATATACTCACTAATTTGAATCTGCAGTTCTCAGTGTACACAATGTCAATTTTCCTGTTGATCTCATAGATGTCTTGTTCTAGGAGCTTCATAGTCTCTGCGTGATTTTTCAACTGGCTAACTGCAGCATCATGCTTCGTTCGCAATTTATTCTTCAGCTCCAGCTGTTAATAATAAACTTCACTGATAACAGATTTTTATATAGGATTTTTGTAATTAAATAAAGTGAAAAGAGTTTTTGTTATGTGGCAGCTTTCATTTTAAGATTCCAAAGTACCATCTGAGACAGCCCTCTTACCAGTGAAGACACAGAATGGGGAATCAGTTGCTTATGGTCCACAAGAAATGAATCAGCTCTGACATGAAGTGACCTTTCTGCTGCAGGGTCAACCAATGGCAAGAGCATAATTTTTCTGTCACCTGAGGCTCAAGTGTACACAACTGTTTTGTTGTGCTATTTCTATTCTAATATGGTTGGAGAAACAGGTCTCCCTTTTCTAAACAGACCACTGGGGCATGAATCCTGCATCTGACCAGCCTCGTAAGATCCCTTTATGTAGTTTATTGATCTTGTCCTATGCTTCTCAGTAACTAGAGACACTTTAATTCTTCCTAGTAGCAGCAGAAGGTGTAAATATGTTCCTTTCCCCCGTAAACTTTTGTTCTGGCAAAGAAACAGGAAGAAAAAGCAATCTGATTGTTAGCCTGGGATGTACAGCCCAGCTTCAGGCATTTTGAACTATTCTAACTACCCCTACAGCTATACCAATTTCGTTCTCTTCACACTGGTGCTGATTGAATGCCTCAAGTCAGAAATGAGAAATACAGGTAAAGAGGCAATGCTACAGAAAAGTTTTTCAAATACGAGTTACTAAAGTAGCAGAAATTCCTGCCTTTGCAGTAGCAAGAACCTGAATTGAAGCAGGTTTACAAATGCCCCCAGTTCACCAGCTTCTTTTTGACTTGCTCACGTGTCTAAGGAACACAAAATCAAGCAGAAGGGCAGCTTGATATAAATTCTGGGTTATAGGCAGAGCTGAAGTCTCAGCCACTCCCCAGATGGAAGCACAGCAACAGAGAGGACGGTAAGGTCCCAGCCTGTCTTCCCTGGTCCCAGGCTCCATGGGTGCCTTTACCAGGAGGAAATAAATCTGGTGGTTGAAACTCTGCAGAATTACTACAGTAAGTTATTACCATGTCCTTCTTGAGCTTCCCAGTAGTTTTGATTGACTGCTGAATGGCTCTTGTGGCTTGTACTTCTTCATCTTTCTTTTCTACGAGGCAGAGAAAGGATTGCACAGAGAAGCTGTGGCTGCCCAGTCCCTGCAGTGTCCAAGGCCAGGTTGGATGGGGCTTTGAGCAACCTGGTTTAGTGGAAGGTGTCCCTGCCTGGGGCAGGGGGATTGGAACAGGATGATCTTTAAGGTCCCTTCCAACCCAAACCATTCTATGGTTTTTAGACGGTGTTATGATTAAACATTAAAGTGTTACAAATAAAATTAGGTTCTATTAGTGACTTGTTTAAGTCACTCTTATTTTTTTTCTTAAATGCTTTATTTTCCTGTTATGGCCAGGTCTATAGATTCCAGTTGTTGGTAAGAACTCAATTTATGTGTTTCACGGTTCGCCTGAGCCATAGGCAGACATAGGGTTATGGCACACTGTTTTTGGAAACAACAAGAGAAAGCTCCACAACGTAGAGGAGATACTTAATACTTACCTAAAAAGGATTTGTTCAGGTCTTCATATTTTGTATGCTTCTCTTATCTTTCTCTCTGGCCTTCTTCCAAGGTTAGCTTGCTTGTGGTTAATTCTTGTTCTTTTTTAAGTAGATTTTCAGTTGCATTTTTTATGTCATTCTTTAATGAAACTAAATATTAATCAACAATCTATCTAAGCAACATTTAATGAATTAATATTTTAACATATCTGGGGGTGTGAGGGGGAACAAAACAAACAAAACAGAAAAAAAAATACTGAAAGTGATCCCAAGAGGTCATCTTAGTCCATCTCTCTGCTGTACAGCAGAATCAATTAGACCTAAGTGTCCACACAGATGTTTAATTTGTCCTTAAAAACCCTAGTGGTAGAGATACCATGACTCAGACAACTGATCCCATGGGTTTATTATTTGTGCTGTCAGTGTTTTCTTAAAGCCCTTTTCTTAAGTTAAATCTATTCTGTTCCCTGTTATTTGTCTCAACAAGTGGACAGGGAGAAAGGCTTATATCTTGCTACAAAGTTTTATTTATTTGGTACTTACTGACATATCTTCTCTTATGTTTAGCTATTTTAAATGGAAAAGCTGTGAATTTCTTCAACTGTTTTTTGATCATCTTTACTGAACTCCTCTTGGGTCTCAGAATAATCCATATCCTCCTTTGATCACCATGAGGTGATCAATACCAGACACTGTACTCCAGCTGTGTCCTGCCAAAACCAGCTAGAGTAGAGAACATGCACCATAAATCTTGCCAGGTTATCGACCTTTCTACACAGACTGGTTTGAGAATTGCCTTTTTCAGTACAACAAATCTTTGTTGACTTATGTTCTACTTTTCAGCTTTAGTTCTATTTATCATTGCCTAAATATCTGACTCGTGATAGATTTGTACAGACAACTCTTTCCACCTAAACACAAAAATATGGATGATAATGATGATTATTACTAAAACCTTTTCTTACCCAAATTACTTCTCCAATTTGCAAAAATAACTCTGAAGTCTAGTTCTGCCCTGCAAAGGGCACTCCCACTCTTATTGTGTTTATCATGTACAGATACATTAAGCAGTCGCTCTACAATATCACCTGAGTCAATAAGGAAAAAACCAGATAAATTCCAGTGAAAGCAGACCTCTCACAATCTAACAGGGACCGTTTTTCTATTTTGTCAGTAAAGCATGGGTAACTATTATCTCTGATAATGTTTCTAACTGTTTTTTTGTACCTGGGATTCTTAGCCTGAAAAAGCAGCAACTGAAGGGACATACAATAAAGGTATATAAAAACCACACGCCTTTGCTGGAGAAAATGAGAAGACAACAGTTATTCACTGTTTCTCATAACAAAAGAATAGCAAGATGCCAATAAACTTTTGAGATAGTAGGTTTCAAACAAAAGAAAACTACTGTCTTTATTAAATAAATGATATGCTATAGGTTATTATGGAGCCTAAATGTATATGTGAGCTAAAAGAATCAGTGATAGGAGAATATTGCACACTGAAGATGCAGCGTAGCATAAAATTCCATCAAAAGCTATTAAATGCAGATACTATCTTCACCTAAAGAAGTTCTTGACACTTCATTTGTCATGGATATTATACAGAAGAAGGGTCGTTCTATATTTGGCTGTTCTTACATTACTTCTTCAAGCAAGACTATTGATCACTGTAGAAGAAAGGATACTGGCAGGACCAACATTGTGTCTTACCCAGTACGGCTATTTTGGGAAATGAAGTTGATTTAAGCTTCACTTACCTATTCTTGATGTGCAATTAAATACAATCATGAGCAGTTCTGAAATTGCTTCAGCAACTTCACTACCTGAAGGTGAGTTTCATTAGACTCAGATGATCCAAAGGTATCAGAGTTCTCTAGGTACGCTTGCCAATTACTTCCTTCCCTATTGTTGCCTGAGATGTTAATTTTCTGATGGTAGCATTCGTATGCTAGGCATTTGATTCTGCTGACCCATCAGTGAAGCAAAATAAATATTTCATTGTCTTACCACAAACATGGAGTGTTTTCACATTATTCTACATGTCCTTTCCTATTAGCATGTCATTTTGTAGCTTGACCTGTCTCATGTTGTTGCTCCATGCCCAGCCATAAGCATATTTTTTCAATCATACTAATGTTTGTTTTATATATTGTATTAAATGTAGTTAATACATCTTATTAACTACAATGGTCCTGGATCTGAGCTGTACATCATAGAATCATAGAACAGTTAGAGCTGGAAACCTACATCACCCTACAGCAGGGCTGCACAGACTTACCAGCCTGGGAATATTTGTACTCTTAAGTCAGCATGGAGAAAAAGAACTATTAGCTCTTAAAGACTAAGCAGATCATCACCTAAACATGACTAAAACACTGAACATTTTAATCTTTCTCTGTCTCCTTCCTTACCTTTAAGAAATATCTGACCTTTGTTTTTAAAACAAAACAAATCTAATTTGATATATATGCATTTTTCAGCACAGTGGAACATCATCTTAGTTAGGGCCAATGAAACACAAGACACTAGTTAAAGGACTTTTCACTGGAAAAATACATATGTACTCTTCTGCTGCAATAGGTAAAGACACAGAAATGGAGAACAGGAACAACCCACATAGGCTGGGAGACTTGAAGAAAAATATTAAGACAGGGACAAGTTGATACCCAGGAACTAAAGTCATACAAAGAAATGAATTGGAGCCCAGGTTGTGAAGTAACACCACAACTCTGAACTCGCTTCTTTACAGGACAGTAATGTCAAATTCAGCCCTATATATTTTTGGTCCTTCTCAGGCTCTGAAATCAGGTATCACTTCTGTGATCAAAGACTAGAAATATCAGAAAACCTCCAAGTATAGAAATACAGCTCATGAGCCTTATTATAGGTTTGTTTTTTTTTTTTTAAAGGGCTGTAGCAGAAGAACGGCTAAAAAAGAAAGAAAAAAAAACCTGGAAAATATGGAGAAGAACAAAAGAAATTATTTCCTTAGCCGAAACAGGTATGTGAAGAAGGCAGAGAAGGAAAGGTGATCTGAGTCTCATTTCTATGAACTTCTTTGATCTCATACATCATCATGGTACTCCAAACAGAGCAGAATTAACCTAAACTGACATGACTCTTGTAAAGGAATTTATTCCTCGTACCCAGGCCACCTTCATGAGAGAGCATTCAGAGAGAATCATTTTGAAGAGCAAGTGCATGAAAATACTAAAAGCTCCAGAAGGAAAACTGGGAAGAAAAAAAACAAAGCAACTTGAATTGCTTCATCAGAATGGTAGGAAATGAAAGCAAAGTAGGAAACAGTTAAGAAAGGAGAGTATCTCAGAGTGTGTCACTAAATGAAAACAAAGAGTTACAATCACTTTTTCAACCTGTCTCTGTCCAGGCCACAAAGGAAAGGGCAACTCTCCCATAGCAGTTTTATCAGCACTATTTTAGATGGGGGAAAAACTCTAGAATGGACTATATTAAATAAAAGACAGAGAAAAAGTATCAAGGTATATTTAGCATTTCTTTTGCATATACTGCATAGCTTAACTGTTAGAAAGAGCATGAGAATGAACCCAGCACAACTGCTTCCTTAGTAGTGACAGGCTCAGCCTTCAGATTTATAGGGAAGCCTGAGCAGTTACATGACCATAACTATCTTGCATAACGTGGGAGCATAACCTCTCACTAATGAGCAAAATGAGAAAAAATTCTCAAGGCCTTCTGTAAATCTGCCTTTCTAAGGTCAGACATACAAAGAGGATATTTCTTACACTCCTGACATCTGATTTATCCTATCTGAAATCAGACTGTTGAACAAGAGTCCAGCAGTTTCCTGGGGATAGAGCATATACTATATCCCAAAGACCAGAGAAGTGCTAGAAAACCTTGACAGCTCTGAGAAATTCATATACAGCATTTCAGCACCCTACTTTCTTTGGTGAAGAAAGCTCATCAGTGTTTTAAAGAATGTTGACACTAAGTAGCCTTGGGTTATGCCTTGCACACCACCAGTCACTGTGACAGAGTTACAATAGTAATTCAGAGGAGACCTTGACCAGGGCCTAAAATCAAGCTGCCATATTGCCATGAATGTTGGCCTGTTTACTCAAAACCAGAATGTTTTTGAGAATGTGATCAAACACATTTTACATTAATAGGTTACACACTGGGAGGCTCACTCCAAAGCTAAATAGGATCTATCTCAGGACTGAATCTGGTCCTGCACAAATTTTTATTCTAAAATTGGAGTCATCCCTTCTGAGAAACACCTGCTCTGTATTCTTTTGACATAGATGCCCATAGGTACATGAATATATATGTGCATATACATATATGGTCATTTAATAATTCCAGTGTCTCAACCTGAAGGTTTTCAGTTCTTGTGAGCAAAAAAAAAAACCAAAAAACCCAACAAAAAACCCCAAACCAAACCCACAAGAAGAAACCACACCAACCTGAAAAGCACAAAATTTTCTTGAAACAGTTACTGACATGGAGCATGTTTAAACATAACTCCAATGAGCACAGCTGCAACAAGGCGCAACAAACATTGCCAATTCATCCATCAGAAATCTTCCCAAGGTTGACAAAAAGAACAACAAAACTTATCTCCAGACATTTTATTTTGTTAGCAAAATCTTTGTTATAATTCTTGTAATCATTTTCCTTCTTACTCGCTTCTTCACTCAGGGCATTGAATTGATTCTCAGACTGAAGAATCTCTTCCTCAAGGTTTTCAATCTCATAATGGAAAGCAAAATGAAGGTCAGTGATTTCTGAAATATATAGTGTCTACCTGGACCACCCAGAAACAAGCAATTAGTGCAAAATGAGAGCAATCTGCATTCAAAACATAACATCTTCTAAGATAAATAATCACCTTTAAATTGTTATTAATAGGTGTTAAAGTCAGATTATAGAATCACAGAATGGTTGAGGTTCGAAGGCACTTCTAGAGGTCATCTTGTCCAACCCCCCTGCTCAAGCAGGGCCTCTTAGAGCTGACTGCACAGGGCCATGTCCAAATGGCTTTTGAATATCTCCAAGAATGGAGATATTTAGATCTTTAGGTATTGAAGATCTTTAGACCTGATATCATGTTTAGTAGCTAACAAAAAATTGGCCCTTGGAGTTCACTTTTACTTAGGTAACAGTTTACTGTTATTACATATATCATGAATGCATGTAACACTAGATGTAATAGGTTATAATACCTGCTGTTTAACATACCTCTGCAAGTAGTTCAACATTTTTTACTAGTTTTTTACTAGCCTCTATTCTTTCATTCACTTTTCTGCTTCTGTTCTCTTCTGCTGGGAAAAAGAGTTCTCTCTGCATTGATAAGTGCAGTAGTTTCCACTGAAATATTACTCTGGTGACATACACATGAGCAGAAATAAGTTGAATTTGGGAGAAAAACAGAGAAGGGAGACAAATTCTCAGGAGCACTACAAGCCTAATTTAAGAGATTAGAAGACTCAGACATATTTTCTGTAACTTCAGGACTATAATCAGTTGTCTGTGATCCTGACAATATCTAGGAGATGCATAAAAAGACATAAAAACCTTCCGAAGTGCCTCTCTGTTTTTATTGAACACAGAGGAGTAT